GGGGGGCGCTATTCCAGGTAACCTCCAGCAGTGCTGTAATAATCCCTTTGATTAGAGCAACAGGTAAAGTTAATCTCCCTCCTGCCTGTTGCAGGATTTCAGTGGTGAACACAGCAGCAGGTCTGCCATCATCCCTTGACACATGACAGCTCGGTGGGGGAAACACACAGGGGTGCAGATGAAAAGGACAGCACTGTTAACACAGCCAACCACACCTTTGAACGGGTGTAACAGGATGCGTCATGGCAGAGGAAACGACTTTCGCCTGTCACCTGAATTTTTACCTAATAACACAAAGCTATTTAACTGCAACCAAGGGCTTTAAAAGGAGAAAAATTGCTATGAGACTGCCTGCTGCCATTTTCAAAACAAATTAGCATACGTTTCCAGTGACCAAAATGTCTCCACAGCTTGGTTAAAAAGTGGAAACAAAGACAAAGAAGAAGAGCCAACGGCATATGCTGCCGCCTCAGGAAATCGACCCAGCCCAAAGCCTGACACGTAGCTCCCCATGGGACGCGTTGTTGGCTGCTTTGCCGCCATGAACAGCACCTGTCAGGGCACTGAGAGGACACGCTCATTATGTCCCTGACGTCAGCTGTGTTCATCTTCAATATTGCTCTTCTGAGAGTGTCTGTAAAGGGACATCAAACAACATCCACTCTGTGACTGGAGATGAACTATGAGAAAATCCCCCCCCTCCCCGTTCGTCACGCAGCTGTGTCCCACTGGGCAGCGGTGGTCTCTGAGAGGGTTGACACGGGGTAACCGGACTGGAAACTGAGAAATGAAAATCTGAACCAACGGAAGCACTGGAATTATTAAATCTGATGAAAAGTATGGTCATTGGTCAATGGACAGTGTGAATAGGTTGGAGCTTGCCTGGTTGTCACAGAGACTCTGAAGAATTTAAAGCTGGGATGGAAAATGAAGGCTGAATATGAAAGGCTTCTTTGTTTTTTCAGAGGATTCAAACCATGAGGTGAAACTTGATGGTTTTAAAATTCAACCAGCATCAATCTTTCTTACTTCCGTTACTATTGTCGACATGACAGCGAGTCTCGCAACACTTCCAGCTCTCCGGGGTAGAAGTGCATCACATTTTCTCACGGATACTTTTCAGATTCGACTATCGCTGTATTTAAGTCTCCCATGGCAGCCAGTATGGAACGCTGAGTGGTGGGAAGGGGGTTAATCTGAAGCCTGGCAAGGCTGACTCCTGCTCAGAAGCTTGTGAAAAGCGAGTTACCACCGAGGCATGGGGGCAATGAACACCTTGAGACAATTGAACGTGGGTGAAATTGAAATAGGCGGTAGAGACAAGAGAAAAGGCATCCCTTGAGAGGCGCAGGACAATAGAGCAAGAGAGAAAGGCAGTCAGACAAAGAGAGAGATGCACAGGCACCAAAACATTTCACATACACTTTGACTTTTCAATTTTATCTTTTCCGTGTGATGCTGTCAGGAGCCAGCTCCCCGGGGCCCAAAGAGAGCCAGAGCAAAATCCAGGCAGAGAGAGAAGGTGCGAGGAAGGTTTTTTCTCTTCTTTTTGTTTGCTCCGCTTCTGAGTCACAGAGAAACAGCAGAAAGAACATCACTACATTGGCCTTTGAGAGTGATGGACGACAGTCTTTAATGAGGACAAAATTAGGTCTGGGTCTCTCGGCACGTACACACAGGGAGAGCACTTCTCCCTTTCCACCATTATGCTGGCTAATTAGTGGATTGCATTAGCAGGGACCAATAACAGGAAGCCATTCAACCCCAGCTAATACTTGTGGCCATTATACAGCATAATTTGTGCCGGTATGACATGAAATTCTGTGGGGATGAAGTATTTTTACAAAGCTGCAAACACGCACTACTTTAATGTTCCTGTAAGCCCATTTCGGGCCTTTAATCTGCAACTCTGGATTTGTCTATCTGCCTGAGAAGTTTTCATTTTGCCTCTGCGTTACATAAATATTCCACTATAGTGCGGCATAAACATGACATGATGGTCGCAGATGGAGCGGTAATTCACATGCCATGCAGCATGTGGTGCATAAGAGGGAGCGTGGCCCCGCCTGAGAACTCCGCTGAGCTGGGAACGAGAGTAGCTCCACATCCTTCACCAGGCTTTTTTTCCTCTGTCCACATACGTTCATACTGCATGGGCATATTTATATAATTCACATTCATGTTTCAGCGACTTTCAAGACATCATTCTCAGTGTCAACACAAACTTCGGCATGAATTATTTTCACTTTGCTTCTATGTTATTTTTAAAAGAATAAACGATGAAGAAGCATTTGGGAAAAATCTGACCTCTGGAACATGTATGGAAAGAAAAAAAAATACTGTATATCTTGCCGTTACGTTACTGTTACATTTGTTTTGGTGGAGGCATTCCTGTGCTGGTTGCACATGACTTAATCAAAAATGATGCATCTTCAAATGCCCTGTTTTTTTTTCTTCTTTCACCGTCTGTGAGAGCTACATCCAATTATCATTATCATTGCCCACTTCTAGTCACTTGTAAGTCATTTGTTTGCATTAAAAGCAGTCAAGGTGCATTATAGGATGCTATTGACAAAAGTAGATTGCAGTGAGGTGAGCTATTATCAAAATGTCCTCCTTTCCTGTGTAAGAAACAAGGCGATTTTTAAGCTGTACATGTCATGAGTAACCAATCTGTGCTCTGCTGTCATGCAACACAAAACAAGAATGAACAGCATGAAATCAGGCTGCAACTACAATTATTTCTGACTCACTTCTTAATTACAATAACGTGCTTTGTCAGTTGTTACGCTACGGTATATTTAACAAATATGATGCTCATGGAGCTTTTTGCTGTCAAGTTACAGGATTTGCTCTTCCAAATGTAAAACCCAGGCCCTTGTGACGGTTCATCGTCTGGAGAAAAGGTCTGCACTTAGAATTGAAAAGGGGCAGAAAAAACCTTCGGATTCACTGTATATTTCCATCATGAAGTGGATGTCTGGACTCTATATTCAAAGTCAGCGGGCCAAATAACTCCAACAATTCTTGTCATTGTTCCACAGCAAGAATGAGCCACTCACACCATTTTTCTTCTCATTTGTAAGTAAAAACTGATGAATAAACTAATAACTCCAGCAACAGAGGGGTCTGGTACTGCTTAGGCCAAAGAAAGACAACCTTTGTTGGAGAAATATTTTGTAGTGAAAAAAAAAAGGTCTGGCCTTGGTGCAACTTTCATTCACATTTATTTCATTCATTATTTTGCACGCTTTCATTTTGTGGTGGTGGTGGGGGTCCTTAAGTCACATGTACTGGATTGGTTGTTCAGCAAATCATCTTCACGAACATTCAAATGTAAAGGCAGCAGCACAATGTGCCGAGTCTGCTAAGATGGCTCAGTCATATTACTTAAGAAAAAAGGAACTGTCTTCCAACCTTTGTCAAAGAAAGATTTACAGCGCTCCTCTCCCGATGTGATTTGATTGTGACACTTTCCAAACTTAACATTACGTTCATAGTTTGTTATGATGGTCGTCGAATGGATTTCTGTCCCAAGCCCAGCAGTTTGTTTAACGACATGGGAGAAGTGGTTTCTGAAATATGGATGGGGCTCTGTGACAAGTCTCCGGCAGCGGTCGGGCTTCCACGCGAGGGAACCGCTGCCCGTTGCGCAGTGCGTTTATTCTCGTCTTTGTTTGCTTCTCTCCCCCCGGCACTTCTTACTTAGAAGGTTGGCACAACAGAGCTAAAGCCCGTTTTGTCTTCCAAAAGATAAAACAAATGAAGACATAAGAGATGTCCATATCAAATGCTTGATGATGTTCAACCCAGTGATACGTTCACTGCCTTCTCTTTTGGTTATGAGAGAAGGCATGCCGATTGTAAAATACAGAAGTCTGTGCTGAGAAGGCGGCAATAACTTCAGCTGTTGAACGCCTCACAATTGTTATCTTGTACTGTACTGAGCTGATGAAAGGTGGTTTCCTCACACACACTCATGCATACACCATTTAAAGGGAAATTACACAAGCTTTTTATCATTACCTAAACACCCACCATAACCAGGGCGACAGCCTGACTTTGCAGAGCCCCGAACAGTTGTATTCCCTTACCACAAAATGAAGGCGACCACACACACACACGCCCACATCATCCTCTTTCTTGCTAGCAGACGTGAACAATGCTGCAGACAGAGGAAGAAGCAACATTCCTGTCGTTTATCTAGTCATCTGATCTGGCCGGCGAGTCATGTGCCGGAGCTGTGTTGGAGGCTCGACAGAGGCGCTTCAGGCTAACCCTCGCCTAAAATATTCTGCTGTGTTTGCAGCATCTTAACTTACTCTTTAACTGCTCTTTATTTAAATTGTGAATGAGTCGTGTCCCCCCGGAAACACACAACTGCCACGGGTTCTGTTTTCTGCAATGAAAGCACCTAGATTGGAAGATCTACAGAAGAGAACTAAAATGATTTTTGAGTCCCTTTACATTTCCACTAAATAAAATGTGTCCTTGTCAGGCTTGAGTGGATTTACTTGATGACCACACAAAACAAATCGAACAGGTCAGAAAATGGCTATTATCCATTAATTGACCACTAGTCTGGTTCTTAAATTGCACATCAAACGGTAACAGGTTGTGGTCATTTTGCTGACTTCGGTCATCCTTTGCATTGAGTTGCAAAGCCTGATTCTCTCCATCACTGGCTGTGTAATAATAGCTATCCAGAAAAGGATGGTACAAAGTCAAGTTTTGCATTCTGGAGCAAAGGTCGACAGTTTAATTGGAAGTGCAAATTACGTTCACATGTAATCCCAAAGTGGATGGAGCCATTGGGTAAAGTGAACGTGCACACTGCAAGAGTGTGTGCATTTAACCAAAGAGAGGGAGGGCTAGTTTGAATGTATTTTTAGACCCACACGTGTGGCCATGCTCCAAACTCCTTCACTAAAGTGTTGTTTTCACTCCTCAGAGCACTCCTTTCGCACAAAGGGGGGTACTCCGGCCGCCTCCCCCCTGCCTTTTCTTTTTTTATCAAGAAAGAGTAAACATTGACTACAAGGCTCCCATCTGTTGGTTTTACAGGGAGCTTTTCCCTCTCCTGCTTTCCACAGTGGCTTCGCCCGCCACCTCTCTCCTCACTGTCTCCGCCGTTGGCTGAGAGTCTGCAGAGAGCACGCCGTCATTGTGTTCACCCTCCAGCTGCACTTACCCTTCCAGTGAAGACACACGCTCAGATCACTGATCCCACTGTCTTTAAGCAGAAAGGAGCGCAGCGGAACATCTTTGCCATCCTAAAAAATGCAAAGTAGTGAGGGCGAAGGCTTTGTCCGACCGCATTTGAAGCCGTGGCGGCAAAGTGTTGCTGAGAGATGTGGCTTATCAGCGCAAAGAGCAGATATTGAGCCTTTTAGCAGGGCCACGGGCCACTGGAACTAAACACCCATGATCAGACAGTGTTAGTATCTTAGAAACTTCTCAGTGCAAGTTTACAAGCTGAATGACTTTGTTAGTTACGCCTGAGCTGTCCTCATGTAGGAAAAAAAGACCAAGCTTACCACTATTCTGGTTAGAGAGGCTGACATGCTCCATTTTCATCCTTACATCACAAGCTCTCCCACAAACATGGACAACAACACCAACAATATCATTAATACCCACAAAGAATAGATTCTTAAATCAACCATGGAACAAATATTCAAAACATCCCTGCTTTGAGTTTCTATATGAACTCTAACCCTCCACGTCTTTCAGTAAACGCTGGTGAACGGGTGGGGCCGTGTTTCAGGATGTTTGATAGTGCAAATATTTGAAATGAGAATTTAGGCGTGTTGACTCTGCAGACGCATGACCGCTGACGCTGCTAGCAGATCCTTTACGGTTTGAAAAGAACTGAAGCCTCCATTACATAGATATGAGAAGTCAGATTAAACTGGAATAACTTTTTTTGGTTAAACGAATGCATCAAGAAAAAAAACTGTACATTTGAATAATTAAAATATGCTGTAGTATTGTTTCCTGAGCTATGGCAACATGTATTAATTACACTGTGAAATAATGAATTCTGATTATAAAAGTTATATATATATATATATATATGACATCATTCCTCAAAAATCACAGTCATGGTGGAACAAGAAGACAAACTGCAATAACTGCAGCCTAATCCTTCCTCTGTGGTAAAGCGGTGATGCAGAGGAAATGAAGTATGTTATGCGAGAGATATGTAGAGAGATATAGAGAGTTGGGGATGCCACTATAGTTAAGTCATAGTGGCATTATTGTTATAAGCTGTTCTCCATGCAACTGATATAAAAAGACTGTAACGTCCTCCTTGTGAGAAAAAAAGCAGCCACTGCTAATGCAGATTACATCATTAATACAGAACACATTACAGGGAGCAATCACAGCTCAACTTCATTACTCTGGCAGGCTTGGTACGAGAGATAGAGAGAAAGAGAGAAAGAGAGGGAACAGCGGCAGCAGTCACACAACCAATTCATCAATGAGTGATGTCTGGCAGCGGATCGGCCAGAGCTGCACGACGGGCCCACATGAATGTTATGTGAAAAATCAACCAATAAAACGCGTGTAGTCTGCAGATCTCAGGGCTACTTGTTTGCAGTGTCAAACGCTGATCAGCAAAAGGCATTTGTTTTCTTTAACTGGCCCTCCACGAAGACCAGAAAGAAGGGGCGGCTGGATATCTACTCAGTGACATGAGGCCGATTCCTCATATTTAGAGTTCTTTGTTGTTGTTTTTTTCTGTTTTGTTTTGTCTGGCTTAAATCCTGGAACACATTAAACAATGACACACAGAGATTATATAATTTATCAAGTTAAGCCTAGAGGCCGGATGAGGTTGTGTGCATTCATCTGCATTATGTATAGATTTTAATCAACTGATTTAATGGAGTCTGGGTTATTAATATGCAATCATCAGCCAGATGGTCTGGAAAGAAGAAACTAATATTAAAGAGGTAGCCTGTGTTATACTGCATTCTGGGATAAGACCCTTTTCATCAATTGCTACCAGATGGTTATTAGCCAGCAGTGCTGTTAGGCAGAACTTAACCAGGGCTGAGTGAAAACAAGAGGAGAACTCACCAGTTCAGCATCAATAATGTTCAGCGGGAAAGGTTCATCTCTTAGCCTGCAGAGACGGGAAAAAAAAGGGAAAGACTGTAAGGAGGAGGTGGGAGTGGGGCGAATTTTATAAATCACAGACGTCTGAAACTCGACTTATTTGGCGGAGGTCTGAAAATGTTGGAAAGAGCATGAGCTGTGATAGAACCCAAGAGACAGAAGCATACACATCCCACCCTGCCAAAAAAATAAAAAATACAAAGGGCAGACGCATCGAGGGCTGTGATTCAACACGCTTTCAACGTACTACAACAACACAGAGCATGTCAGCCGCTCGTCTGCTGGCCTTTTACTCAATCTGCCTGATGCAGCCTCCACGTTCGCGGGAAAAGGTGTTAGAAACTCCATGAGGACGACTGACATCTTTGTCAAGGCTGTTTTGAAAAGAAACAACACTAAAGATGCTCATTTGGAGATTTGAGCCAGTATCCAATATGTTCGGATTTTAAAGCCTATCAGGACCGATTTCCATAATAATGATCCTGATAACATGGAGATACCTCTCCCCTAATGGGTCACTGCTGAACTGTTTGACTGAATCACTCATTAGAATGTGTTCAAACACAGATATTATTCTTATTAGTCATCATATATCCCTTAAGCACACAACAATAACTACCTAAGAACTCCTTAGAAAAAAAAAGAAGCAGCAACATGAGAGCGGCTTTCCAATCTGATTCAGGCCCTCCGACACAGCGGGGACAGAGCAGCTCAGGAGAGGAAATGAGCAACGGAACACGCCAGCCTCCTGCATAGTTAACTGCCATGAAGCGGCTTCCAATTTGTGTCCCACTAGAAAAGACCTCCAACCTTTAAGAAAATCAATATAATGCTGGCACGTTTGCTGGTCTGGAAACACACAGACTGAAAGACATTTTTCACCGCTGAAACGTAGACAAACCCCTAAAAACATCAAGGAGACGTATAGGAAAGGGCGGGACAGGCTTCAAAGCGCTGGCACACCGACATCTACAAATGCAACTTAATCACTTTTGATTGAGTTAAAACCTTAAAAGCAATCCAAGCCTCCCAGCCTGAGCATGCCAGGACTGCGAGATGTTTACTTGCTTCTTTTTTTTATTTGTTTTTTATTATACACCGTCTTCTCATCTGAGTCATCCTCTGCTTTTATTGTTTGCCTCAGATAGTGTCTGGCTAAATCGAAGTAATATCAAACAAAACACTTCAATATACCTTTGATCTGATGGGCTCTGAAGCTTAGATTACATTGCGTCCCTGTCTTTGGGGTTGCAATGCATTTGGATACGTCTGGAGATCTTCTTTCTTCCCCCTGGGTAAAAGTGCAGTTTTTTTCTGCTGTCTCATTTACCAGATGGGAACAGACAGGTATGAGACTGAGGCTACAATTATAAAGGCCGGGAGCTTCTATTTGTAAAAGGAGCGACAGAGGAAACCATAACATAGAATGGAGGAACACCCCCTTTTTGCGGTCTTTAAATCCTACCGTGGAATCATAACAGTGGTTAATCACCTCAGTTAAAGTGAAGTATTATCAACAGTATTGGGGTTAAAATGCAGAAGCAATTGTTTTTTAAATAGATTAAAAAACAAAAAGTCAGCAGGGCGGTTTAACACCTCATAAAGACTCTTTTAGTTAAGTGTACCAACAATTATAAAGTCATCTGTCCAAACAAAGCAAAGCAAATAAAACGGCCGCACACGCTCATTTAGCCCCTAAGCTTTTTAGTCCACCATTATTTCTATGAATGCCTCTCAGCCTGGGTTTACACCACAGCTAAGGGACTGTCGTTGTGCGTGAGAGGGTAATGTTTGCCTCTATGATCACCCGTGGAACATTTATGTGGCAAAGTCAATAAACCTGAAGGAGAATTCCTTTTCCCTTTATATAACAGAGGCAATTTCTCACAGGTAGCAGAGGACACCGTTTGGAAGGAGGAGTGGGAGACATCCCTCTGGGATTTGACATTTACGCCGGGCTCCATCACACCAATTTGTACAAGATTTAAAAAAAAAAAGAATTTCTCTATTTCATGAAGTAATATATAGCTCAGGCCTCATAACACAGAAGAAAGAGGAAATTGGACAGAACATGCACTAAATCCATTCATCAATTAATTTTAGGGGCTGCCAAGTGAAAATGACACATTATGGCCTGTTTGCACTGCAAACAGGCTGGGGGGGTTACCCGAAATTGACTCGGGCTCCAGCATCGTTCCAGCTGCTGCATGCATGTAATAAAGCAGCGTCTGTAAGCAGATACCTGCCGTCTGACTCCCAACATAACACAACGCCCCTTAATGAAAAATGGTTGACAACTTCCAAGCAACAAGCTTACGTTTATCAAGGTAGACCACAAAAGTTAAGAACTCCTCAGTCATTTAAAGCACGTGACCAGAACACTACAAAAAGTACAAAAGCAAATACAACCAAATGCACATTTATACAAATTCAAAGTTCACCTTTCAAATGTCAGAAGACAAAATATTAAACATGCAGAAAAAGCAAGGCATTAAACACTGTCAACAGTTTGCTCTGGCAAAGACGATTTTAGAACTGTTTAACTATTTACACCTGTTGTGCCCCCCCCCCCCCCCAATCACCACAATTGTTTCCACCCCTGCAACTTGCAGATTTAACAGCTACAATAAAGTCAAACGTGCTAATGAAACTTGTGCTCTAGCTGCAGTCACAGGGAAAAGCTTGCAGTGGGATGAGTGCATGCAGCTTCCACATTCACCCGAATAACGCTGGCAGCCGCCACATTCTGCCACTGACCCCTTAACGTCCAGCCACAACTGTCGCAGGTCAACAGAAGGCGATTACTGGCCGACAGTTCAGCCTCAGACCCGCGTCCATGTACGTCGGAGATGAAAAAAAAAAAACCCAAAGAGCCCTAGTGTGTCTGTTCCCGCGCTGCCCGCTAACGCCGCCGCGCGGACCGCACCGAGCTGGTCATCTCCCGGCTGCCTCCTGCTCTGTCCCGCTACAGCTAGCTCCACCGGCTAGCCTCCCAGCCGCTGGAAACATCAATAACCCGCGCGTTTCATTTGGTTTCAGAGCCGCAGCGACTCTCTGTCGCGTCGCGTTTACCTGGAAGAGAAGTCGAAGCGCCGAGCCCTGCCAGGGGAAATTCAATATCAGCCCCCAAAATGCACATTTTAATGCGTCTGGCTAACTAGCTAGCAAATGCTACCGTCTCCAGCTGCGTGTGTGTGTGTGAGAGTGTGTGCGTGTGACCGAGAGGGACCGACAGAGGCAGACGGAGGATGTGTGATGTCTGAATGATGCGAGCAGGATTTGGAGCGAGGCTCTCAAAGCCTCAGCGATGGAGACTGAGTGGAGGTGAATGTAAAAGGTGCCCACTCAAATTAAGCGCTGTTTTTCGTTTCGTTTTTTTTTTTTTTTTAGGAGCAGCGCACTGCCTTACTATAAATTATCCCATGCGCGGCTACACAAGGACATTTCGGAGAGCTTTATGGTCGTTTCTTACGTGATTCCGGTGTTAGCGAGGACGGCTTTAATCCGAAGGGCGGAACGAGGTGATGCTAAGCGGAGTCCGGGTCGCGCTTTGCGGAGCCTCCAGCCGCTGCTGTCCCGTCTCCCGCCGGCCGGAGTGTCCCGGTGCTCCTGTACCACTCGCCCTCCGGTGGAGAATGAACGGCCCCGGTGCGCTTTGATTAGGAGCCCCTCTTCCGTTAGGCAGCGCGCCCCCCCCCCTGTCCTCCCTCCCTCCTCGCCACTTCCACCACCAGCCCCGAACGTGCCTGCGCGTGAGCGGCAGGTCGTGTTCGCGCGCGCGCGCTCCCGGCTCGGTGTGTGTGTGTGCAGGAGCGTGAGCTCAGACGAGTGAATGAGAGTGTGCCTTGGTTTGACAGAAGAGTGAGTCATCCAGCAGAACCACATCCAGCCTCCAGCCCCTCCCCCCTTTCCTAACAGCTGACTACTGTAGCCGCCATGCGTTGAGAAAGACAAACAGTCCCCCCCCCCCCCTAAAGACCATGTGTGACTGACTGCAGCACATGCTGCAAATGCAAACCTTGTAGTTGAACATGTTTGCCAGCATCATCACTGTTTGTTGTTGTTCTGCTTTCAAGCAGTCTCGACAACGTTTTTCAAAAACATTTTCCAACGGCACCCTTCCACACTACAATGGACTCGGTAACTTTTTTTTTTTTTGGGCAGTTCAGCCCCCCACATGATAACAGAGCTGGATGAACAAAAAGAAACTAATACATCCCCATTTCTGGAAAATTGTGCCGAATGGTGAACAGTCGAAAGCAGGTGCAGATTGTTAAAAATACATAAATAATTGGGTTTCCCCAAAAACAAGCTTAAGCCTGCAGGTTTATGATGCCGAATGTGAAAACGCTGTCTGCATACACAACCTGAGGCAGGAGCCAGAGAAGCCACTATTTTCCCCAGCCACAAGAGAGCACAACAAAGCACCATGTCTCCAGAGGGCCCTTTTAAGGCCTTAGGGACATGATCTAACAATCCAGCTTGATCGGGGATAATATTAGAATAACAATCAAAATTTCATCCAAGCCAGATTAAGGTTGGCATAAACATTACATTCTTCAGTTTGGGATTAAGGTTGGATTAGGTTTACATTAAGATAGTTGAGGCAAAAAAAGAAGGGAGTAGGGTATTAGATTTAGGGAGTGAAAAACTGAAAGTACAGCATTCATGCAGCATGTGAATGTGTGAGTGTTTTCTTTTAAGTAAGCGTGTGTAAACTCAGTGTACCTGCCAAGTAACATCTTGTGGTCCTCTTCCCTGCCCTGGTGTGCTTCATTAAAGCTCAGCAAGAGGATACATCCTCCTCTTCTTCGCCACAGCAGATGGACAGACACAAGGCAATGATATTCCAGGGAGTTTGAAGGGCCGTCACTGTTTATATAACCCAGAGATTCTTATTAAAAAGGCGCTCTCCTTCCGCCCTGAACCCAGGGTTAATTAGCCCACTTCCTAGTTGCAGGCATGCACGGAGGCTTCTGAATGGTCGCAGCGGTTGTTATGGGCGACTCGGCTTGTCTTCTCTCCCGTTGTCTGTTGGGATTCCTCTGAAGCGCTGAGACTGAGAAGCACAGCGTGTTTATGAAGTCTGCAAAACTCACACACGCTCACAACAGCAACACACAATTTATGCAGATGAAAATGCAACCCCACAAGCACATGAAAGCTGCAAGCTGCATGCATGCCCTCTGCATCATGGAAGACTCTGGGAACATGCCAACAACACTCATGCAGTGTGTAACAAGTTTTTCTTTCATCTTATGGATGAAAATGTGTAACTATAAAGACTGATAAAAGAGCAAATACACATTATTCACAAGTGTCTGAGACTTTGTTACCTTGGTAATTAAAATAGGTCATTAAGACTGTCCTCTTGATTCCTCCGGCCCTTGAATGTGGCACATATATTTCACACACACACACACACACACACACACACACACACACACACACACACACACACACACACACACACCCACACACACACACACACACACACACACACACACACACACACACACACACACACACACACACACACACACACACACACACACACACGACCTAGCATGGTTGCTACTAAATGGTCTGTAACTGGGTTATTCACAGTCTCATGAGCAGCCTGGTTTCTCAAACCATAGCCACAACACTCTGTCAGTATCACTTTCACATAACTTTTGTTATGTGATATTCACCAAGTGTTGACATCATAAACTCTGTTTCAAGTTATACATGACAAAACAACAACCGACACATTTATAGGAACGCAAACTGCAAGTCGAAGAACTACCTCACACTTTAAAGGAAGTATTAAAACTGTTCACACAGATTTAAACTGAAGAAAATTAAATAAAACAAATCAAGAGACACACGTCCACTCCAGCAAAGTACAATAATAGCCACATTTATTTCAGTTACAAGCAAAATCCCTTTACAGTATTTCTTTTTTCACGTCGTCATATTTTATCCTTCATGTCGATCATACATTTACATTTCCAGAGTGCATACACTTAAGTTGAGGAGAGAGGGGCTGTTAAATAATGTGGCTCAAGACAAAAGAAAAAATCTCTCTCTTTTCTTATGAGACATTTATCAAATACTGCTCTTCACAAGCTCAGTGTTACTCAGTAGTGGTACTGTTCTAAAAAGTGCACACGGTCTATTCAATACCAGATAGCTTCATATAATATAATACAATGGCAATTTAAACAGTGGTGTAATTCACACATTCAACATCAAACATGGCAAACTCATTCAAAGGCACAGAACTCTCACAGCAATGTCATCTTTTTCAAACGTTCTGAGATGTCAGGCAACCTACTTTCAATTCTTTATTTTTAGGAAAATCATCTGAACTTGGACTTGATATCAGATGATGCACTTATGAGTTAAATGGCATCGATCGATTGGGAAGTAAAAAAAAAACTAAAACTTCCTTACATTTACAGAATGGCCACATTTGACGTGTCAAAGAGGAGATGTTCAGTCGACGCTGCTGTCAGAAAGCTGGAAACTGAGCATTTTTGGTAGTTACAACATAACTATTTAGGCACAGTTTCCTAATTTCAAAATGAAGCTTCTAGCAACGGGTGCAAATTAGGAATAATGCCATAGAAACCCAGTCTTCTGTGGTCTCTGGCCTCTGCTCTTACTGGAACTGTATTCATGTTCCCCTGTAGGTGCACAGTGAACCAGTTAAGAGGAAGGGCACTTTCATAAACTACAACAGGATCCTCTTTTGTTTGAATGTCCTGGTTTAAATGTTTGAATTCAAGGGGCAAAGGTAAAGAGTACAATGAGCAACCTGTTCACTCGATAAGGCTACTATTGGATCTAAAACACATGGTGTGTTGTTACTTATTCCACAGTGATGTATCAAGCCACAATGCGTCAACTGTTTAGCAGGTTTAGTCCAAATGAACCGAGGAGAGCAAAAGTAACATCAATTAAACATCTCTGCTAACCAGCGACTGTAACATTTACAGTTGTTCGATATACATGCAGACACTGTACAAAAAAACAACTTTCTGCTCTCTTCCTCTCCACACAGTTGCCCAACAAACAATGCAGGTGTGTTAAAAAACTGGCCAAAACAAAGACAGATGGAAAACATGAGACAGCACAATATCTTATTATATGGTTAAAATGAGGGGTTTAAAAAATATAGCAGCAAAACATAAGCTTAGTTCTGTGAGAACAAATGGGGAACCCAGAAGCCACCAGTGCTTCTGGGTTAAAATAAAGGTTACATAGTTATGTTTGGTGAGTCTTCAGTGCAAACATATAATGGTGAATTCAAATGTATAAAGATGGAAGCTTTAAAAGGTTGAATATAAAACATTTTCTACAGTGTAAGTTGACTGAAAATCCACTGTAAGACTATTCAAACCTTGGCACAACACATCTCTTTAAACACAACATCATGATAACAAAAATAATAAAAAGAAAATACTCTATGTGCAATAGTTCAAGTAAGTTATTTCCTGCAAATGGTTAGTGTTGTGTCACACATCCTGTGGCCGTACCGAAAGAGACGACAACATACAGGTAACATACAAATACACAAAAAGTACTATTTACATTAAACAGTTCTCTGGACAGACACCACTCTACGCAGAGAGGGGCTCTACTCACCGACTTAGATTTGGGACCAATTCTCCCATCGGATACAATTTGGACCATAGTTGGGAAAATCTCATCCTAGACCTCTGGTCACAGCCGCGTTCACCAGAGTGTGAAGCAAAGGTTAAATCCTTAAAGAGCTGTATCGTACACTCGTTCTGAGGAGCCCTCCTCCGTGTCGTCCTCAGACTGGGACGCCTTGTGGTTGAGCTTCTCAGCTGTTGAGGAGGAAACAAGGTTTCCATGGACAAAGTCATCGGTGAGCTTGGTCTTGCTGCTATCCTGAACAAACTCTTGGATCTCCATGGGTAGCCGTCGAAACTTGTCCTGGTACTCCTGGTCCAAATCACTCTGGAGCTGTAAAGACAGAAGGCACATTTCAGCTAAGAATTACAAGAAAAACTGTACAACTAACATATCATTTCCCAATATGAAATGCCCACAACGTATACCAGGAACACTGGTAACTTTTAAAAGGTAAATAGATTGTCAATATAGTTCTAGATTACTTTTTCCTGAACCAGTCACAAGACACTGAACACACTAAAACATCACTGCAAACATTGGAATTCAATTAGCAAGACAGTAAAATGTAAAATGCAACATCTTAACATTTTCATTTACTTTATAGGCTCAAAATACTTTTTTTTAAACCTCTGCTTTGACTGATCGGAAATAAAAACAATCCCGAGAAGGAAATGGTGATTAATAATGTATTTTGTCTTTAGTTCTAAGTGGTGTTCGTTTTTCTTTTCTTAATGACAACATAGCTTGCAGAGACCATCCTTTCTCCTTCTGAGGCAACTGTCTAATCAAAATGACTCAAAATGCAGAGATGAGTGGGGAGATGTTTCAAACAGACAATTAGCCAGCTAAAGACAGATATTTTCACATCATGGTGCCATGAATGAAAACAAACAGCTGCTTGACATTCAGTAAAAGCCATTTCACGGCATGCTTCGGATGTCATACAAAATTAAGGGAATTTATTCATATGGTAAATATGGTGTAAATCAATGCTGAAGAGATCCTTTCAGCAGTACTCATTTGTTATTAATTAATTTTACCATTTGGAAGCAACGAGGCATAAAAAACAAACTAACTTTATAAAAAAAATGATATCTAATTGCTTTTGCATGTTCTTATTTACACATTAGCATAAATGGATCATGACTGGCATACATTGTTTGGCATGTCTCTGGACATCTACCAAATGTGAGGAAGTTCAGTGTTCAATTATTTAGTTTTCTCTGCTTTTTTGTATATCCACTTTTAAATAAACTTTTGAGCAGCTAAATATTCTGGAATATTGAACAACTCTTTGGTGCTAGTTAAGTTGCCTTCAGTTGGGGATGCAGTACTTATTTATTAAATATCACTGAGGATAGCCCTGAGTGTCAACCACACATTAACATTGAGGGATTTCCACCCAAAACAATGGGCTGAAGGAGCTGAGTGGAGCTATGGAGTTGCATAATAATTCCCTGAGGGTTTGTCAGTATTAATGACCCCATTAGAGCAGTTTAGAGCAGGAAGTCAGCCTTTGCCGCTACATGAACAGTCACTGCTGATGTTTTACAGTATGTACTGAGGTAAAGTAGCTGCAGCACTTCTTGTTCTGTCAGTTAAAGATTAGATATCATGCTACTCTGCTTGTCCTCTAAAAATACAACAGTGCGTGCAACTAAATTGGACACAGAATTGTAGGTACTGTAGAAAGACAATGACTTTCTACATTGACTGTGGTTGTGCTGCAGTTTGGTGTTCTGAGAAGGACTCGGATCACGTCAGCACCCAAATGCTAACACCCTTCCAAAACTGAGGAATTGGAGGGAGAATCTGTTTTCTCCGAGGCATAGACACCCCAATGATTACAGATGACAAGATTGTATTCATTTCATTGGGAGCTAATAATTGCTGTAATGCTGATTTCTGTTTAACTACCCGACTGGCTCCCAAGGGAGGGCAGCAATTAAAAAGAAAAGCTGCTAAGATGAATGGTGTCAAAGTCGTAGAGCTCGCGTCAGCATCATAAGGGACCATAAATACCTGTTCAAACAGTATTCATAAAGAATCAATATACTTTCTGAGAGACCCACTGTCTAACTAAACAGCAGACACAAATAGTCCGAACTGAAAAGAATTTCCAGTACAAATATTCCAACGTCCTTACGGAGAGTTTCCTTCAGAACAAACAAAATGGTCCTTTGTGAGGTAGTCAAAGTCATCATTAAAATCACAGGGTTTGGTTTGGGAAAGGATTGTGGGTGGAACCACCTTTATTATTATACCTGCAAGGACACGGTCTAAGTAGTGTTAAAAACACATTTTTGCATTTAGTTGCGGTTTCAAGGCATCTTAAACACACAGTTTATTCACCTTTATGCAGCCATTGTACTTATGGAACCCCACACTAACAGACTACTGAACGATTTAGTCCTATTACCTTGACAATGCTTCTTGTAATAATAATATACTAATACATTTGACAGGGTATCGTTTGAGAGGCTGCAGTGTAGACTCAGACAAATGACTGCAATAAGGGCTGAAAATGTTATCTTATATCTCCCTCATGTTGTGGAGCAGCCCGCAGCAGCGCCTGCTCAAAACCCTCCAAGTACATGCTGCATTTCAAGGTCACCTTCTCTGGAACATGCACGTCTATCTCCCTCCCTTTTTCATTTTTCCCCTCTGTCTTTCTCTCTCACCCTCTCTGTGGGTCTCACAGAGGGGACATCCAACACGTCAAAAACAGATGGCTAAAGATGCACCGCAGCTCCGACTTTGTGTCCCAGCGCTGCATGTGACCCACTTGAGGGTGGGACAGTTTGCACACACCTTCCATATGTGTGAGGTTGTGTGTGTTTGTGCATTCGCTGCCTGCCTTCGCCCGGCCTGCTGAGGCTCAAACTCCCTCTGATCAAAGCCGTCATCTCTCTTCCATCTGATGCCACCGTGGCTCCTGAGGCGCTGGTGGGAGCAGAGGGCAGAGAAGTAGGAGGGGTGCCAGGCACCTCTTAAAACATGTGTGGATGTGTTCTTCATGTCATTAACAGCTCAGTAACAAATAGAAGCTACCCTCTGTTAGAGCTGAGGTGCTGAGTGATGCAGACAGCACTTTCTTTAGACGAAATACTCTCACTGAATGAATTCATATTTGGAGACCATCCCTGATTCGGGACTTCAGTCTGGATTTATTCAATGTCTGACTAAATAAATGACAGCAATAAAGGAGATAAACAGCAGAAATTGTTGAAATGTCCCACCTTTGCTTTTAACATTTTTTTTCAATTCATGCTAAATTGTCTGAATCAAATTCTGACATAAAAAGTCTCACGTTTTTATTGCAAAGAGGCCAGTTGTTTAAACAATATTCTTTTGATTTGAATAATTTAATTCAAACTAAGTTAGATATCTAGTTTAAAGATGTAGCTTCTTAAAAGATGAGAGACTGGTAAAATGCACGACTTTGCAATGTGCTTTTACATTGTGTAAACATAAACTGTGAATATGTTGTACAAAGTATGATTAGTCAACTGACTGGAGTTTAAAGGGAATAACTAAGAGGAGAGAACTTTAGGTATCCTACAGAATTTCATCAGCTTCTCAGTTGAGGGGTTGATTACAGTTGACATTAGGGGAAGCCATTTGATATAAATTAGAAATTTATATTAGAAATGTATTTTTTTAAAACCTTCTGCCTGCAATCAGAAGCCATGTGCTCCTCTACCCAACAAGATCCCTCAGTAAAAATATCGGACAGCCTCCAAACAGATGAATTGAGTAATAAAGGACAGAGAAATTCTACTTGAGGCGTGTATGAATAAACCTTTGATAGAATCGAATGTATAATTGCTTTAAAGCTAAATCAGTCTTTTTTTACTGCAACAGATTCATCAAACTTTGGACTGTTTTCTAAAACAGAGCCTTTGTGTGAAAGGAGGAACATTTATTTTCCCCAGGTCTTAAATCAAGTGACAGTTTGCAAATGAATATCTAAATGAGTCTGACGTATTTTGGAAAAAAGAAAAGTATTGTGAACTGAAGATGTTAAAGCTGTTTGGCTGCCGTGAAAAATGAGGGGGAAAAAAGGTGCAATATCTCTCGAACACAACACCCCTTCAGCTGTTATTGATGGTGATGATGCAGTCATGCTTTGCCTTGTGTTGAAGCCAGTGTTGAAGCCACTGAGGAGAAGGCCCGTATTAAAGCACAATAGTTACCACAACAGGATAATGAAATGGAAGATTTATCACCAGAATGCTGTGGATATATTTTTTCATGAATTGCTTCTTAAATATATACGAACTGGATTACCCAAAACACTTTGTAGCAAAAACAAACAAAATGATGGAAATTAAGAAACGATTTTTACCTAAAATCTGAATGAAGTAGCTTTAACTTTTTGGAAACCAGGTCATCAATTACTAATTTAACTGTTTGCACTAACAGACTTTTCAAGAGGGGATGCCCAAACTTTTGTGAGTCACTTAAAGCGTGTAATTGGTCGAGCTTTCTGCATGGACACAAACCACCAGCCACTCCTTCAATCTGTTCCTCATCTCAGAAGACTTCATCCGTCAACAAAAGTGCACACGCATGCAGAAGTGCACACACATTTTTCTGCTTTTCTTAAAATACAGCATTCAGTGACCTTCTTCACCAGCTGTCCTCATTTTGAGGAGCTATCGAGGGAAGCGGAGAAGGCCTCCGAAGAGCCAAATTAATTTCTTTGCTTTGAGCTGTGACATAACGCTTGCTGCAGCATCACAAAAAAAGAAGAAAAAAAAAGAAAATCTTCAACAAGTGCTGTACTACGTGTGTAGCATACAGCCATGGTAGCTGGGGCTCGTCTGAGGGAAATATCATATGGTCTCTCTTTTCCTATTAATCAAAGTTTAAACCAGCCCATAACCACACCATGAGCATCTAAAATTTAGGACTGAGTGACATTTTACAATAGCTTAACATAACCCAAGTCCAAACTGGCCAACCCTTGGGTCCCATGTTTCATAGATGAGACTGCAATGAAGGTAGTATGCCTCTATGTAAAAGAGAAGAAAGGGCAGTAAACACGACTCCATTAACATTCTTTCCATCGCACAGGTAATAACTATGAAAATGAACTGCAGCCATTAAATGCAAAAAAGGGAAACTTAAACTAAGTGCTCGGCGAAGGAAAACTGAACAGCTGAATCCTCCCCTTCTTTTTGAATTTTTCCTTATTCTCTCTGTGTGTGTCTGTGTTGGTGCCCTTTGCTGACTCCATTCAGATAATTTATCACTTGCTTTGCAAGAGTTTTTCTTGGACTTGACTCTTCAGGTTCAAGAATCTGCATAACTCTACCGTGTATGTAAGATAATAGTTCCCCTTAAAAGGGCTGGTTCAGAAGGTTTGTTATAAAGGGTGATCGGTTACATTTTATTACTTTTGATTCAGATGTGAACCTTAACCTTAAGAGTATAGAAACTGACAGCAGGAATACCATTAATATGCATTAATATGTAAAATCTTCACCTTGATTTCAAGACATTGTTTTGGTTTTTAACGGAGTTATGATGCATAAGTCTTGTTTAATTGGCTGGGACAAAAAAAAACAAAAATCATTGTGTTCCAACCACCCTGCTCAACCCTGTGGGTGGAATTCTCGAATGCTCTTATTTTATTTAATTTGTTTAGTTTTTTTGCCCTGTGAAGATTTCATTGTATTCAATCATATCCAGGTAAGATATTACAAACTCAACGCCAGGCCTACGCGCTCCTATTTTAGAGAAATGGTGCCATCCTTGGTCTGCACCCATGGGAATCAGCCATGAGCAATTTCTGGTTAAGTCTTGAGATGCTGGCAATGAGATTTCTCAGATTCCTCAGGATCCCATCGGTGGTGATCTTTAGTCTATGGACATGCACTGAGTTTATGGGAACCTTTTTCATGAGAGCGGCTGTGTGCTGCAGCTGGAAAAGTAGTTTGGAGGTATGACACTGAGCCAAAGCAATGACCCGGACTGAAAGAGCCATTTGAAAAATGTGTGAAGTTCAAGTAATTCATAATGATACAATCAGTCAGTCGGTAAAATATGAGAATTGAGTTTTGTCATGTATCACGTTCCTTAAACTTTGTCAGTCTCCTAATTAGACTTAAATTAGTATTTTTCATTTCCTGCCTCATCCTCACACACTAGAACGCCAATCTTTCTGCTTTTCTTACCTTTTATTTATTGGTGTATCATGATTTTATATAAAAAAACAAACAAACTGTAAATGTAGTAGGAAGTATTTCAAAGTTTAGCAGTTAATATTCCTTGGAGAAAAACCCCAGAGAGCATCATTTGCACATGTGGGTATCCATAATGAACGGCGTGTACTGATCTAAAATAGCAGTTAGCAATGTAGAGTGGAAGAGTAACCAAGCGTGCAACATGTACACACACTCACACATGCACAATGGATTTTACTTCACTGCCTCTGGTTAGTACTCAGTGTTCCCTGTGGGTATTTTGTTTGTGTGTGTGTGTGCATTTCTGTGCACGCAAATGCATTATTGATGCAATCACGCCAGGGAGCAATGATGCGGATCAAAGTCTGTGATGAGGGAACATGGTGGCCACCCCTACCGACCAGCCAAAGAGCGATATTAAGAAACACTGAGCGATTGCCATACACTTGCTTGGCTCATGCTCAGCTCAAGATCTTTATATCTTCTCTAACCTGATTGATGCCCCTTTCTTCCTTTTTCCTCTGCCTCTTCCTCCTGCTGGTTTCCTCCACCTCCAGTAACCATCTATGGCATTTAGTCATGAAGACTCAGTTCCAATCTAACACACTGCAGAGAGTCATGAAGGATAGGCGAGGATATGAGAGGTGGGGGAAAGGAGAGAGGGGGATCCGAGTTTCCATGACGACTGCACAGGACTCCTGCTTGTCGAAGGAGTGTGTGTGCACCTATGTGTGCGATTTGTGTGTTTGTTTGAGGATTTCACAGGAGGGAGACACCTTGAAATATTACTCTCTTCATTTAACACAAGAAAGGATCCGTATGTGTATAACAATTACAGTGTACATTCCCGAAACTCACAAATACACCAACGCACCATATTGTGAAGCATACTGCCTGCTTCACCAGAACACTCCATACTCTTTCAGAGCCAATTAAAGATGTGCCGGGGACATGCACTTCTCCTCAATGACAAGATAGAGTTTTAGACCTCCGAAAAGCTTAGAATTAAAGTATCTATCTTATGTTAAGATTACTACAAACATGGCTGCATCATGTGTGGGAAGGTTAAAGAAAAACAAACAAACAGAAACGGTGGCATTTATGACAAAGGTGAGATTTATGACAGATTAAATATAATATAATACAAAAAAAAACAGTTATCTCATTCAAATCTTCAACTCTTTCATTCTTTGGAAGAATGCTTTAGCACAGCACTGTTTATTCCAGATTCCTCAAGGGTATTTTTAGAGGTTGATTACCACAACAGTGACACCTGAATGCACATCTGGGGACTGAATGATCTTTGGCTTGTCCCTTTCGCTGTCCTTGCCATTTTTGAAGTCCATAATCCTCACATTGTCAGCAAAGAGGAACTTGTAATCTTATTCACAGAAGTTAAGCAAGTCAGAACAAGCTGTCAGAAATTTCTCACAACAAATCCAGAGTGTTTTACATCATGCAGATGTTGTGCTTGTTGAAGTTGGAGCACGAGTAAACTGCAACGCAGGAATTGTGTAGCAAGTTTTGAAAGTTGGCTTGCCACATGTGCACGAGTGCACATATGTACACACACAAATACCATTGTTAAGGGTGCAGCACTCAGGGTTCCCACCAGGGATGGTTATAGATGTCCATTAGTGGCTGCTCTGAGCCCAGAGAAGTAACTGGGTCAGAACTGTGTTTGAGAGACAGCCTATTGTATCTTCCCCTTTTTGATTTAGACCAACACCCGCAGATATATAGCAACGTGTTCAAACCCATGCTGAAGCTTCTAACGTCCTGTTTCTGTGCATTCTGCATTGTGTCTGACTCCTCATCTGTATTCATGAGCTAACTGAATTAACATTGGTTGGCCCTTACAATTCCTTTGGCCCTTTTTGGGTTAAGCAAGGGGAAATTACTGTAGTTACTTTTTTAATAACTGCTAAGCCTTTATTAAAATACATCATATTTATCCTACACAGATGGACCTACCATGGGAGGCCAATGACCTCAGTGGGAACAGTCTTGGGTTCAGCGAGACACTCGAGGATAAATTTCCATGCACTGAGACAGTGTCAAATAACACTAGAAATAGATTCAATGGTGCTGATCATAACCATGTTTAAACCAAACAACTGGTTAGAGAGTGAAACATTTAATAAGGGCACCTAAAATGTTGCCAGAGCCAAATATGTAGACAGGATACGATGACAATCAGAGCACAGTCATAAAACACCGTCACAATCACATGGTAAGAGTGTCAGCTGATAGACAATCAGTCGTAGTTTTGTGAGGACACTTAATTGCTAAAATGGCCTCCTCTGAGGAAATCTGCCACTTCTTTTCTTGATTACTACGGGATGACACTGATTCACACAGTCTATGGGAAGCCAAGCTGGCTTTTTAAAGTGGAGCTGTGTGCCATTAAGGAGAATAAAACAACGGCAACCAAAATAACTAATGAAAAAGGGATCTTTTAAAACCCTTGATTAATTGACATATAAAACAGATGGATCACAGGGCTAAAGCAACTATCATCGACTTTACCTTGTGCTAAAGTGTCAATGATTAATTTTATTAGACTGCAGCTTTATAGTAAAATATAGATGACCCAATGTAGGTGTTTCTTTGCAGTGAATATCTGTACTGGACCACCCTCAATAGTCTCAAAGTGGTTTTAAAGGTAAATGGATATGTCACTTTGGATGTGGGTGGCGATGAAGCTGTCTCTAGCAGATGACTTTTGATTAGTGGGCATCTAAGACCAAAAAAAGGAGGAAAAGACAACCCAAGTGATCACATCAGGATGTGGTCAAATATAATGGTGTCAGGCTTCAAATCTAACTGTTCAAAAAGAGAAAACTATAACAGAGGTAAATGACTATCTGATGAATGACTACATTTGTGAATCACAGATGTAAGGCAAGGCCACAGATGTAGTATGAAACGAGGATGCACCGTCCTTCATGACCAAAAGAAACTTTACTGCTTTTATACTATGGAAACACGTGAAAGAACCATTCATCCTTGTGTTTAGAGAATTTTGAAGTCTTGCACTTACTGTCCATAAAAAACATAGATTCTTAAAGAAAGTGTGCATTAAAATGGTTTTACTGTATCTGCCAAATAATTGTAGCTATGGAAAAACTGAAGAATGTCAACAGAAGGCAACAAAGCCAAGCACACAGTTGGGGTGTGATCTCACGATACGCAGGCCAATCTGCTCCCCCTTCTGATATAACGATGCCATGCTGAACAAATTACACTTCAATTCTCTGATAAATAATATATCTGCAATAACTCTCAAAGTTACTTGCAGTGGAGGAATATTTTGGCTCCAACAATGCGGGGATGCAGTTTAACTTTCACTCAAATCTGTTTAAGGGTGGAAGCTTGTGAGTCAAAAGTGCCACACTTACACAAAATTAGTGGATAATACTTGAGTGCAATGATTTTCTTACCACAACGAACAGCAACACATTCATCCTACAGTGACAGTGAAAATGACATGGTTGAGGACGTCCTGAAAAGGAAGAAATGCTAAACCCTCCAAAAGCATCCACTTGAGAAATAACCCACACACGTAGTCTCAAGAAAACTTTACCAAACTTGGTGGAAGTAGAGGGTAACATCAGGAAACAGCCCCAGCAAGACAAATTTCTTATAATGCAATAATTAAGTGGCCAGCTTTTCTTTATACTGGTACAACTGACGCTGATTACCATGTATCCGGGAGCAGCAGTTGGTACTAAAACCTTAGGCTACATATTCTGAATAAAATGAACAGTCACTTGTCACAAAATAGTAAAAACATTATGGAAGAAACCATTGCAATCTGCACACGTTACAGTATCCCATATATGATTTTTGCATGAGTTAGAGTTACAGTACAGGAACCAAAATCTGCCTTGTGCAGGTCGCCACCTAGTGATTTCTTTTTAAATGACAGAAAATCGGGGATTTATAATGCTGAATTCTGCTTTTCAAACCAGTTAGAAAAAACATATCACAGTTACAGAGGTGGACCAACAGTAAAGCCCTGGCCAGATGTGGAATAACTGCTACCATTTAGCGTTCTCTCCAACAGTAACAATGAGGGTTATTATCTATGCAGGAGATGCATGTTGAACTCCTCAAACATTTAAAAAGCCTTACCTTTGGCCTTTCATCCAAGATTTGCTGCCGAATGTCCTTCTGCTTCTCCAGTAGTCTCTCATGTCGTTTACTCTGTGCATCTTCCAGCTGTATAAAAAAAACCCGCTCAGTTTGAGATTCTTAACAACGCTTAAGAAACATAGTTTTGGTGTAAGGTCAGTAAAAAATCAAAGGCAAATTTCTGCTTACCCGTTTGATGTACTGAACCACCTCGTTGACAAATGATCTGTTGATCTCCAACTTCTCTCTGAAGATTACAATCAGTCAGAATTAAGCAACATAACATTTAGTCTGTAGTGACATCTAGTGGTCATACAATTGTAATCACCAAATACTGCAAAAAACAAACATTTCAGTAAAAGACACTTACAAACATATTTAAAGACACACTTACTCCTCTGTCACATTCTTGTCTTTAGATTTAGCTTCATTCATCTTCTCTTGTCTTTTCTTATCCATTTTCTTCTTTAGGTCCCTCTTTTCTCTATTGATGGTGGGAGAGATGACAATAAAGTGGTTTGAATAATTATTTTTGGTGTTTGTGTCCATTGTAATTGTGCGTGTTAGATTGTACGTGTGTAACCTTACTTTTCGCAGATGTCCTTGAGTTTTTTGAGCTGAGCACTCTGGCATTCTTCTGCTATACTTGTCAGCTTCTCAACCAGCTGGGGAACAGCAAAGAGGAAGCCGACATGTGACAGGATGAACAAAACAAAGTTGAGTGAGACGAAAATCATTGGCTTTAATCCAGGGTTTATTTTAGTTAACTTTAATCAGCCCGACGTGCGCTTCTGTTTACAATTAAACATTCAGATCAACATTCAATACAACTCAATCTGTTATGCTTGTTGCCTTTCCCTTGGCTTAGTTTCTCTGATACCTCAGCTGTGCTCAATGTGCAAGTGCACTGGAGAAGAACACAATCACTTTTCCATGCATGTATGATGGGGTATAAGCATAGGCAGCAAAAATGATTGAAATACTCTGTAGGGTGATGACCTGGACATTATTGCACCACTCATCTGTTCATTTGTCCGTGCTGGGTTTTAGACAGCAGAAGTCAGCATGTTGTCCATCCAAAACCAGTCATGGCAAGCTACTGTCAGAGTGCAGTGATGTCTACTTATTTACATCATGTATGTTCATGTGTATTGTTTATATGGAAAAATGTCCAAAATTGTTATTTTCAAGTCTGGGAAAGAAAAATTACAGCATGTGCACATTGTGCATACTGCGAAGTAATCATATGTTTTATTTTAATAAATGCATCAGTCTATGAGAGCAAAATGAGGGAAACATGTTGGCTACTAATAATTTGAGAAATTTCCCCATATTTGCCATAGAGTACATCATTTTGATGTTTATGACAAACACCTTCCACGTGGACATTTCAATATCATGGGATTTGAGGTAATTTGACTACATAAAGTGTTTCAAAATGTTCCAAGGTATTTCGTGTATATGTGAATGAGCTAAGAAAGAACATGTGTCAATAATAAACAGTGCATTGTTAAAAAAGACAATTAAATGTCAAACAAAATGTAAAAAGTGTTGTTTTTTAAGTGAAGGGATTGTAATTAGCAGATAGAATAGCTGGGTTCTTGTTCCTCTTATTTATTTAACACAAGCCAATACGGCTGCTCAAACTTCTGTGTATGTTTGTGTTTCTGCATGAGTACCTGCTTTATGTGCTCTCGTTTCTGGTATTTTTCACTATAGTATTGCTCCTGGCGAAGAGTAAGGAGTTGCTGCTGCTGCTGCTCCTTCAGTTCTGACAGTTTCTGGCTGCATTCCTGGTCCAGCTCAAACAAGTCTTGATCCAGCTTTGACAGTGAATGTTCAGATCGACTGCAGACAACATGCCAACACATAGCCATGGACACAAAGAGAACATCCACAAATTAAGTTAGCGATTTAAATGTTTGTGGGACTGCACCGACTCATTGCTGTTTCTGTATAGAATAAATAAAAGCATGCACTACGCAATTATATTAACCTGACATGCGCATTGATAGCACGTTTGCATGTATAGAACTGTTTCAGCAGGAATATTTGGTCTTAAGGCACTTTTAAACACCAAATTCAAATGAACTGCTCAGAGTTCTGAGATATTCCCAAAGGCTTCACAATCCAGGTATATCTCAATATCTCATCCTTTGTCTTTCTGATGGGGAGAAAATCTGCATTTAGTGTTTACTGTGCATGACTTTAAAAATGGCACAGATACTTGCATAATCAGGGTGAGAAACAAATTACTTTTGAGGTGCACTGTTGTAATTTCCACTAAAGTTCCACTTAGGTTGTAATTAGACTTGTGTCTTTGGTCCCTGAAGTCTAAACTCCCTCTTTTGGGGAGAATATTGACTCTGACCTCATGAGCATATTTCAAAATTGACACTTTGTCTATATGGGGTTAGTCAGTTGTAGAAAACAAAATAAATATTCTTGATCCCACTGGAAGCAGATGGAGGACAAAAGCAAACAAAAACAAAAGATGGTTTGAACAGCAGAGGAGGGTTACCTACCTTTTCTTACCATCTCGTTTGTGACTCTTCTGCAGTGCAGATCGTCTGCGCTGATGCTGGCTCTGCAACTCAGATACCCGAGCTGTGTGTTCCTTGATCAGCTCACTAGTCTTGCGGTGGTGTTTCCGAACCAGCTCCTTCATCTCCTTGTACTGTTTTCGCTGCTCCCGAACAAAACCCTTCTGTTGTTTCAACTCCTCCACTGTGTGAGCCTCCAGTTCTGAAGACAGAGGAAGAAAATTAGAAAAAAAACATGGTTATAAATGGTAAAATCTGAATTTTTTCACAAATGAAGGATTTAAACTAATCTATGGTTAGGTTTTGAATAATCCCAAATAATTTTGCTTAATGTTCTCGTCACAACATTTTGCTTAAAACATTTGCGGGTTTACATTTCCAACTCATCTATCTGGAAGTCGTAAGGTCAAGAGATTTCAAATGAAGTGCAAAATCAAGAGGGAAAAAGTCAGTTCCCACAAGCAAGACATAAGGTACATTGAAAGAAGTTTGAGAAGTTATTGTTACCAGTGAGGACACTTTGTATGATGTCTTCGGTCTTCACTGATGGCTTCAATGAACCTGTTTCGTGGGGAAAAGTAGAGAATATTGAGGAAAAAAAAGAATGGATTCAGTTATCAAAACAATAAGTAGCTCAGTAACAATACAACTATGAAGTTTACTAAAATGGTTCCAAGTCATATCTACAATAATGCATTGCATGTATTCATTGTGTTTGTCATTAAAAAACACCCAAACAGATTCACTTGCTCAATATCAAGACATACTATTGATGTCTAGTACCTTTTAGATCACACATCATTTGTGTACCTGCAGACTGAGGTTGGGGCCCGACTAGCGAAGGGGGTTTTGGGGCGATAACAGGTGTGTGGCTCAGTCCATTCTCTGCGGGCAACGCTGCCCTCTGATCCACTTTAGATTCTGAGGGGGCGTCGCTTCCTGCCTCCACCTATTCACCACATGAAAGACACAAAAATTCAATCAGTGTCATTTGAATGAAGACCACAGAATACGGTAGACGGCCACTCAACTATTGCAGTGAACCAATTACTTCTATTAAGTTCAGAGGAATAGCAAATGCTCAAAGTTCTTAAAGATGAAATACAGTAAACCACAAGTCAGGTACACATCTTTTCAATTTCTCAGTTAATTGTAAGATACATTGGTGATATGTCAAAAGCATCTCATCCTTGTTTAATCTAAAACTGTCAGTAACTCACTTGTTGCACCTGCGTTGTGCAGGACAGTTTGTAGACATAGCTTTGGTAACCCACTCTTAGCATGGCTTCCTGTGTTGAGCTTTAGTGGATGTTAATTTCCCGTTGGCTCACATACAGCACGCTCTTATCTCTCAAAGGTTAATTCAGTTTTAACTAATCTCTGTTTTAATCATGCGAGCCAGATCTTTCCATTTCTTTTGTCCTCTGTCTACTTTTATCCCTGTACACTAAACATTGCCTACCCACTCTCTCTCTCTCTTTGGGTCACTGTTGCCATGGTCACGACATGAAACAATTCTCTGTCAGCAATCCTTGTGGGTAATCATATCAGCTGGCAAAACAGATAAAAGAGTCCCCTCGGGGAAAAGCCTGCTTTCCAGGCCCCTTTACCAACAGCACCATCTAACCCTGTCCTGCCTTGCCTTAAGCCTCGTCAGTATCCATCTTTTATCCATTCTCGATCATCCTGAATATGCCTAAACTTATTTTTAGTAGATGGATTACTTTAATAAACTTCTACAAAGCCTTTTTAATTATGAAGTATCAGTATATTTCACAGGCTGATTATAAACTCCTTTGAAAATTCACATGCTTGTGTGGTCTTGGATACTTTACAGCATCCTGTTATAAATGGCTCCATATGGAGAGATGCTGGGCATTGCTGGGGGTTCTTATTTTCCTGTATAGGCCAACAACATCCCCACCCATTCCTTTTTTATGGACTTGCAAGGAACTTTAGTTTGTTTTGCAAATTGCTATATCTCTACTTTGTTCGTGTAACTCTGATGATTCCCCTTCGCTTTCTGTTTTCCCGTGTTCAAGACTTGAGATTTGAGAAGACAAAGAGAGAGAATGCAGATTTAAAAGGGTCGTATTTTGTGCCGCTTAGTTTGAGAATGGGCATTCTAAGTAATCGTGGTTTTCTTGTTCCTATTTATTTGCTTTAAATTGGAATAAATCTGACAAGTCTTACAGCGCATCTTAAGGTTGAAAGCTCTTTCCCTTGAAGGCTTCTGGCCAGAGACATTTTCATGTGGCTCCTATGTAAAGCGAATCAAAGTGTAAAAGGAACACAAACACCAAATATCTTAAATAAACACATCTAAAGGAATCAACTGCTGTTACAAAATATACAATGAAGCTTGCTAGGCAAACAGTAAAAGACCATCAGCTCTTCATGGTAATAGACTCCTCCTTCTGGGATAATTCTAAGACAAAACTTTGTGTTTTTCATTCTCTTAAAAAAATGTCTTAATTTATAAAACCAACTGTCTTTCACTCAAGGAGGGTCAGTTTCATTCACTCTGACATTTTTGTGAAAAAAGATGGTCTCAAACTACTTTTAGGATGTAAAATAACATCTTGATAACAATGTGTATGTCTCACTTGTGGTGCTGCTGGATAAGCTAAACTTGCATCACAATAAATTGGGATGTTGTCTTTTCTCAAAAAACCATATGCAAATTTGCGATTTCAATAATATGATTGCCTACAGTCACCTCAAAACTTTAATCAGTTAAATCCTAGAGGCAAACAGATGTAGTTTCTCATCAAACACAGAAGCAGCAAATATCATGGGACTTCCCCCACCCTCAGCACCTCCTGGCAACCCATATTTAATTAAAATTGGATGAACATTGGCATGTGCTTCCTCCTCTTATAAAAACATATCACTCATACTTTTAAGTAACCTAACCTATGAATCTGTTCAAATTTTACATTAATGCAGGTCTAAGTGAATAAAATGTATGAAAAGGGTAAAGTGTGAACAGCTACTAGGTTGTTAACCACTTCCACTATACCCTATTACTTTTATACTTCACTGCTTACATTGTACTATACTATTTTGCTGAGAGCACAGCAACATGTATGTAAAGAAGACATCACAAATACAGCACCTAAAGATTTTGAACACGTTATTACAAGATACCTGTTCATCTCAATCAGTTCCTGGTCAGTGACAGAGAGAATCAAAAAAGTACGATGGTGTGCTGTATATATTTAATGGATAGAGCTGCACAATAACACACCTCTTTGTCCCCTTCCTCCTCGCCTCCCTCCTCCAAAGTGAGAGCAGCCAGCTGATTGGCTCTTTGCTCCATTAGGTTGACATAACGAATGGGATTTGACAAGGCTTCAATGACATCTAAATAACAGGGAGAAAATGATTGTTAACTTTCATAATGGGTCAGAATTTATGTGAGATATTTCCTTTTTATATCTTTGACCAACCTGCAAATGTGTCAGGGACGTAGTCCTTTACTTCCACATAAACAAATAGAGCAGGCAATGTCAGCGACTGGTTCTTCTCATTTCTCAGAGTGATATAGTGGTAGCCTGCAGGGTTTAAGTCATATTTTAAGTGCATTGGTTATGAAACAACAACTCAAAGGTTAAACATACACATGTTGACACATTTGTAAACATACAGACGTATCTCCTATTCAGTTTATTTTTAACAGATGATAGTGCCATCCACTCAAATCTTGGATATAGTCGTTCTTCTACTCATCTGCTTTCATGGTTTGAAAAGTGCATTTTAAGCTAAAAAAACATTTACTGGAAGACATTAAAGCCATTTTTCCATTAGTGGATGAATAGACTTCTACACGTTGATAGATAAGAATAAAATATTCATACCTGGACGGATGGCTGACACAGGAATGATGCGGTGGCCAATGAACTTCCCTCCCTCTTCAAACACTGCTATTCTCAAAGAAGCAAGTGTAGGCAGGACGACCTAAAGATGAGATCAGTCAGCGTTTCATTACATGTCATTCACAATTTTTTCAGAACCCACGTGGGTCTATAAAGAGTTCATTTCAAGCTAGGGAGGCCATAGTCGATCCACAATGGCCGCTGTCCTGTGGTTTTAAGACATTTCTCTTATTCAACACATTTGATTTATATCAACAGAATGCATATGACAGTATGGTATGTGATCCTAATTATGTACACAGCCACAGTTCACCTTCTTAAAAACAATGGCCTCTTCCTCCCATACAGGGTTGATGGCATTGCCCTGAGATGTTTTGGTCTTGAACGCTTTCCTCTTGGTGTCTACTGGAAGGCCAAACATGTCAATCTCTACGTACGTGCCTACTTTCTTATCCGACAGGAACTGACCTGAGATGATCTGGAAAAGAGGACCATGGGAGGGAATGACAGAAACTGTATATCAAAAACAACCTTTTTTACAAGTTCTGAATTAAAAAAAAATCTAATTTCCAGGTTCAGACATACATCAGTTGGCCTGTGTTCTTCTTATAAAGAAAAGTAAATCCTTTGCTTTCTAAACTGAAAAATGGCATCATCCTATAAAATGAGAAGTATACAAGAACAACAGGATAAACATTAGCATGCACATACCTTGACTGACAGAGTGTTGGCGACTATCCCATCCACTGTGCTCTCAGCGAAAGGGTCAAAGTGCTTATCGGGTCGTCTCATAAACTCTGGTTTCAATCTATAGCCACATTTACCATTATACTCATACATGCCCAGGTTCAACTGCATTGATAAATCTGTAGAGAAAAGTAGAAAATCACTCTACCACTAAAGGAATGTTTAATTATTTACTATTTGACATGTATTCAAATGTAAATCTAACAGTAAAAGAACAACACAGGAAGGTTTCTCACGATCCTCTCTCACCAATGGTCTGGAAGTTGAGAGCTACCAGTTGGCAGCCAGCATTCCAGAAGAGTTGAGGGTTGTAGTTTGATGAATCCACTCGAGTGCCTTTAGGGTAAATCCTACTGAGCTGGAGCTTGTTGTATCTGAACAGAGCTCGTTGAGGACAGAGCTGAGCCAACTGGAGTAGAAAATAATAGTCACTCTCTCATTTCTGCTTTGAAATGGCTCCATGAGTAATCTGAAAGTTTCCTTATTGTTAAAATGATCCAGTGAAAAAATGAAAAGTTGTGTGACACTACTGTTGTTGTAATCACTATGAAAAATATATGGAGGTTATTCGCAGTAGAAAGCAGAAAAAAGTCATTATTTCTAAACCTTTGGAGGTAAATTAAATGACATTAGACTGAGAAGGATACTCCACAAACTCCACGGGAGATTTGGTCAGTTGCTCCAAAGCTTTCGTCTCTACAAACGATGACATCTGGTAGCTGCGGTTGATCTCTGTGAGCAAGGAGGGCAATACTGATCAAAGCACTCTAATAGTTATTAGAACCAAAATGTCAGTGGCATATTTTTAGTGAATAAGCCCATGCTAATGCTTTACGTGCTTGTTTGTTTGCTGTTAATTTCCTCCTAGCTTACATACTTTTGGAAGCCTCGAAGCTGTTAAACTTGACAGGTTGGATGTAGATGACCAGGTTGGACATTTCTTCCGTAGCAAACGCTTCACTGCCTGCCGTGCCCTGTCCATGATGGAACACAACCAAATTGATCTTTATGTAAATTCAAAATTCTTAATGTCTTAAAAAAAGGAGAAATGGAAGCCTAGTTATTTCATATGACATAGAACTATCAGTGCTTTTGAGAAAATATTTGAGGTTAGCTTCACAGGAACGTCAGCGCTGATAATCTTTAACCGATAAACAACCGCAACAAGCAAGAGGCAAACCTCATCCATTGAGCCCTTTTTACAATCATCATCGTCATCGTCGTCATCATCGCTTTCGGCCTCCACCTCACCTGAAACACGAGCCACACTTTATTATTGATCCACAAACAGCTAATTGTGTAAATTGAATCAACATCTCAATAAAGACACCAAACATAGTAGTCCGACATATAATGGCCTCCCAAAAACATAAATTCACCCTAACTCATAGAGCTCATGAGTGTAAGATACAAATTTCAATATTGTATTGGTAGAGCCGACCCAGCTTCTGCACACGCAAAATGAGAGATAAAATGGGGGTCATGACTTACCAATTGACTTCCTGCCCTGTGGCCTCAGGCTGAGCTCAGGACCCTCAGAGGGCAGTGAAGAATCAGCCATCTCCTCTTTGGTTGAACCTGTGGAACAAAAAACTTCTGCGAGTGAACATTTCCACCTTTCAACTAGTTTTTGTGCCTTTTACATTTAGCAAGCAGATTATCTAATCCTCTAAAATCTCCATCAATCCTGCACTCTAACTGTCTAATCAAACCTTTGAAACCAAATGAATTTTTTTACCCTCATTACTGACTGTTTCAGAATGTCTAACCAGCTTAAATTACTTGTTTGTAAAGCCGAAAGCCGTTTCCACCTGTACTGCCTATTTTTCCACACCAGGGGGCAGTATGTGTAAGATTTACGAAAACTGGATTGACTACAAGTTTTGCTTTCAAACTGAACACAAATAAAGATAGGAATACTAAACAAAGGGAAAAACACACACATGGAAGCATGCATCTACACACACGTTCATGCTATGTCATTGTGGCTATAAAAGAAGAAAAAAAACTAAAGCCAGGGAGCAACTGTGAATGTGTTACTGCAGTGACCACTCGGCAGTGTTTAGGATGCCCCAGTGATTAATAAAAATGTGATAGAGAGGGCTATTACAATGATCAATGCTTAGAAAACAGTATGGTTTTGCTCCAGTAACTCAGTTTCTGGGCAGTTTAAATATGTTATTTCACAGCAGAGATTATCTTATATTGTTATATGTCACTTCACAAGTGAAACATCATGTTTACGGAATGCAGGCACAAGTGTTTATCTGAGTTGCCCTACCTGCACTAGGTGAGGATGGCTCACAAACGCTGGAGGAATCACTGTAGGTGTTGGACACCTGCTCTGAAAGCTTTTTCTTGGTGCTTCCGTCTGTCTTGTGGTGTTTCTTTTTGTTTTTCACCAGGATCTTTCCCATCAGCTCCATTGGACTAGGTAGTGGCACATTGGACTCCAGCTACAAGTAGTGTAGAAGTAGTTAAAAGAAAAAAGGGACAGAAAGAAGAAAGATGGAAAGACCCGTATAACTGGTTTTATAATGATAACCCCTCAACTTAAGAATAAAAAACTACTAAAAGATTACAAAAAAAATTATAAAAAATTTGGTGTATTATTCATTATATAAATTCATGGCCACTGCGCTGTTAAAAAAACAAAGTGAGTGATACAGTTTGTTAGAAATAAAGAGAATCAGCACATAGCTGTACGAACTGCTGATGTAACAGCAGTAAAGTTTACACGCTCAACAGCTAAATCAGCCTCCCGGGAGGAAAACTGAGCTTTTAACACCAACACGCAGCTTGTGTAAAGAACTGGTCAGAAGAAGGCAGCTCCCTGATTTATTTATAGAGTACACTGCTTTTGAATTTCCGTTTTTAGGGTTAGCAATAATTTAATACCAGGAGAGTTCCCTGCGTTTTCAAACACACCTAATTAAAAGTGATTAGCTCCAATCATAACCTCGGTTTTCTCAGCATTTCTTATTCTTAGAATTTTTTTCTCAAGGATGAGATGAGTCAGATGCACGTGACAGCTTTAGCCAAGGTTTTCTATCCATTAATGTGTTTTCCCAGGAGTTACAATCCCAACAGCTCTTCTGTGGTTGTTAGGGGGGGATGCAACAAAAGACGAGACAACCAGTTTGAATTGGCTTCGAACACGTACACTTACATGCATCATTGGGGGTGGAATTCCTTTCTACCTCCAATGATACCACCCTTTAAATACCACATAAACTGTTTGGATAAGCCATTAAAAAATACAAATAAAAAATATAATACTTTAATGTGCTTATTTTCACCTTTAGGATCCCCTTTAATGGATCTATTAGAATGCGCAGACCCTTTACATACTGGTTTAATTTTCAATCTCATTTGACAAAACTCAAAGTAATAAGTACATCCAATTGTATGCTTAGTGATGTTATCATCTTATTCCATTTAACTAATAGCAGGTAAAATACCTAAAGAGACTGACATGTAAGAGATTTTAGATGGGTTTATTGTTCGTTGTGAGCAGGCCGAGTCCAATTTAATCATCATGCAAATGGAAAAAAGAAAATGAAGTGTTCTTTTAGTGTATCTAACCTAAAAACAGTTATTTGAGCTGTTTTTGTCTAATGCCTTTTTTTAAATTTGAAATTGTGTGCGCACTCTTTGCAAGATTCCGCCAGAATCTATTTTAGACAGGGATAAGCAGGCCTTCAGGTTCCTCATATTGCCGTCACTGTGCTATCTGCCCTACTTCTATAACTTTATATATGTTCAGGTTTCTAAGTAAACTGTAATTTTCTTTATTGTCACCCTTAGCTGAGCTGGAACCAATCTAGCTATATTACTCTGTCCTTGCCGCCATGGAGCTGATATCCCGTTTGATATGCTGCATACATGGCTGTGTGACTGTAAGAGGGGAGTGGTTATCATTGATCTCACCTTTCCCAACTATTACAAGCTCAGTGGTAGAAATATCATTCCTCAATGGCAATTTTTCTTAGTGTGTCTCCAACTTTTCCCTTTCCTTCACCTTCCTATGTCCCTTTCCTTTTCTTTATTTCTGCCACTTCATTCAAAATGAGTCAGCCTGACAATTCTTCAGTGTAAAATCCAGTCAGAGGGATACAACTTTCAGTGGGTTTTCTGGAAGGTGGCAGAGCTTGAAGAGCACCCTGCATTTGTGAGATAATGCTGGAACAGACGGGTGGGAACTTTAGTTCCTGTACTCTATCATGCCGATAGGGACAACAATATCCCTGGGGAACAATGTGAGAGGAATATAGTTTAGTGGAAAATTGAAGTGCATATATTGTATATTTTGTGTGGTATGTTTTAATGGTTCTACAAGACACCAGACACTCATGCCTGAATATGCATGTGAGAGTTTTGCCTCCTACAAGAGCTTGCGTCATTACCCACAAAGATGCCTTTTGGGGAAGGGGGGGGGGGGGGGGGGGTTGTGTGGGGGGGGGAAATGGAGAATTTTTGTTTTTTTCCAAAAAAAAAAGAGAGGTACTCAAATTTTTAT